CCACTTGAGCCACAGCGCCACTTCTGGCTTTTTTCTTTTTGCTTATGTGGTGCTGAGGAATCGAACCCAGGGCCTCAGGCATGCAAGGCAAGCCTCTACCACTGAGCCACCTTCCCAGCCCGAGTTGTGTCTTTTTTAACAAAAACATTTTTTGGGGGGGGGGGTCCGGTTGTGGGGCCTGAACTCGGCCTGGGCGCTGTCCCTCAGCTCTTCAGCTCTTCAGCTCAAGGCTAGCGCTCTACCACTTGAACCCCAGCACCACTTCTGGCTTTTTTTTTCCTGCTTATGTGGTGCTGAGGAATTGAACCCAGGGCCTCCTCATGCATGCAAGGCAAGCGCTCTACCACTGAGCCACCTTCCCAGCCCAAACATGATGTTTGTATGATAAAATCATCCCAACACTGCAGTTTTCAGAACAGTTCTCTTGTTAAGTAACACATGAATTCTTTTTTATTTATTTTTTTTGGGGGGGGGTCCAGTCATGGGGCCTGAACTCTGGGCCTGGGCACTGTCCCTCAGCTCTTCAGCTCAAGGCTAGCGCTCTACCACTGAGCCACCTTCCCAGCCCCACATGAATTCTTAAGAGCAAAAGAGTGGATCCTCTTCTTCCTCCTCCTCCTCCTCTTCCTCTTCCTCTTCCTCCTCTTCCTCCTCTTCCTCCTCCTCCTTCTCCTCCTCCTCTTTCTCCTCCTTCTTCTTCCTCCTCCTCCTCTTCCTCCTTCTTTTTCTCCTCTTCCTCCTCCTCCTCCTCTTCCTCCTCCTCCTTCTCTTCCTCTTCCTCCTCTTTCCTCCTCCTCCTTCCTCCTCCTCCTCCTCCTTGCTCCTCCTCTTCCTCCTCCTCCTCCTTCTCCTCCTCCTTCTTCTCCTCCTCCTCCTTTTCCTCCTCTTCCTCCTCTTCCTCCTCTTCCTTCTCTTCCTCCTCCTTCTCTTCCTGGTCCTCCTCCTCCTCATCCTCCTCCTCTTCCCCCTCCTACTCCTACTCCTCCTCTCCTTCTTCTTCTTCTTCTTTGTCATCGTCCTCCTCCTCCTCCTCCTTCTCCTTCTTCTTTCTTCTTCTTTTTTTTTTTTTTTTGGTGCTGGTCCTGGGACTTCAACTCAGGACCTAGGTACTGTCTTTGAGTTTTTTGCTCAAGGCTAGTACTCTATTAATTGAGTCATAGCTCTACTTCCAGCTTTTTGGTATTTAATTGGAGATAAGAGTCTCAGGAGCTTTCCTGCCTAGGCTGGCTTTGAACCACAGTTCTTAAATGTCAGCTTCCTGAGTAGCTAGAATGACAGTTTGAGCCATGGGTGCCAGTCTGGATTATCTTTGCTACTGCTTCTGAGCATATTAGAACTTTCAGAAATGCATGATGAAATACAAACTAAAAAGTATTTTTTTTCCAGTTTGAGCTACAAAATGTCTCAGGATCAGTAATGTAGTTATTAAAATAAGGCCATTTGTTTTTGCAAAATGCCTTGAGTGTTTCGGACATACCCAGGATGTGTTAAAATGAGCACTTTGCTCTCTTGTTAAGGTCCATATACTTCTATGAGTGTAATAAACGTGTTACGTCTCTGGTCTCCACCCTAGCATTACAACACCTCCTTGCTTGCCGCCGCCGCAGCAGCAGTTTCTGATGATCAAGACCTCCTACATTCGTCGCGGTTCTTTCCATATACCTCCTCACAGATGTTTCTTGATCAGTTAAGTGCAGGAGGCAGCACTTCTCTGCCAAACACCAATGGAAGCAGCAGCGGCAGCAACAGCAGCCTTGTGTCTTCCAACAGCTTAAGGGAGAGTCACAGCCATGCAGTGGCGAACAGGAGCAGCACGGACACAGCATCGATCTTCGGCATCATACCAGACATCATCTCCTTGGACTGACTCCCTTGCCCTGCTGCTCCCACCCCATCCCAGATTAAATGAACTTGGCAGAAAGAAGAGAACTGTGTGCTCTGATTTACCTTATTCTGTTTAGAAAAAGTACACGTATGGGGTTTTTTTCCTCTTTTTAGGAAAAAAAAATTAAAAGAAATGTACAGAGAACAAAACTATATTTTCAGTTTTACTTTTGTATATAAATCTAAGACTGCCTGTCTGATAAAACACTTGTTTAAAAAAAAAAAGGAAAGAAAAGAAAAAAGAAGCACCACAAACCACCTTCAGTTTTCGTGTTTTTAGTTTATCATTTCTGGATTCTGAAGATTTTTTTTCATCATTTGTCCTATTTGGTTTTATTTTGCTTCAGTGGCATTATTTTATTTGCAGTAACAGAAAAGGAGTTGCATGTATGACATTTTAAATTGTGGGCTTTGTTGTGGGGAGGGAATGGGAGGGATAGTTTGATTTCTATTTTTGAAAAGCAACAGACTTGGACTCTGTTTGTGTGTGCACATTTCATCCAGCCTTAAGTTATAACTCATCTGTCCCACTGCATTCTCTGTATTTCCACACAGTCCTGTGTGTATGTGTTGAGTGTACGTGTGTGTGTTTCTATCATCACTGTCCTCTCTTGTCCTGAGTTTGCATTCAGTTAATAAATCAGTTGCCTGCTTCTCTCAGAGTGCTTTGAAGGTCTAGAACTCATGTATGAGTATCCTTTATCAGCTATACCAATCCCCCTCCCCCCCTTCATATTCTCTGTTACATGCTGTATACCCTGAGAACGTGTCTCAGAGATACTGAATACTGAAGGAAAGCTGTCTGGGTAAGGAGTAAGGTTTACTTACTTACACTTTAGTTCTTGATTCTAAATCTGGATTGCCAGTATTGTGTACTTAAACCAAGTCTGTGAATACCTGTTTTTGGGGCCACAGGGTAACCAGTTGTCATGTAAGACCTTCATACCAAAGTAAGAGATGCAAATAACTTTTGAGAGCCCTCAGAAGGAAAGACAACATGATCCTAAAGCTAATTCTATTTGGAAAATGCAGGGCACCATACATGTGGATCTGTAGAAACCTATTTGATAAACAGTTGGAACTCAAAATGTTTTTGAATCTTAGTCATTTTTACTCTCTCTTTCTGTGTGTACTTATTTTCCTTGTTTATTTTTCCCTTCACCTTTTAATGACAAGCATGACATAGGAAAGTCATTTTTTTAATTCACAGATCAATCTGATCTCTTAATAGTGGAACATGTAAATATATTGAAAACTTTTTCAGGAGATGAATAGAGGTCAAAGGGCAGGATGAATATTTTACTTGTGTTCCAAAACCCTTATCAGAGAGGTTCTCAGGTGTGGAAAATAGATTTCAGTTGACTGATAGTACAGATTTAACAAAGAGAAAGGATTATCTGCCAGGTTTCCAGACTGGATTTTTATATTTCAACTATTAATGTTCTCAGAGTTGATGAAGGACCACCTTGATGTATACATGTATTGTTTTTGTGTTGGTATCAAAATGACCTGTTTTAATCCAGGTAGAACTCAAGATGGCTGTATCTCCAATTGTATGGTGAAATTGACAGTTTACATGACTGTGTGGCATCCTAAAATAGTATCTTTATACAACATCTCTGCTACTAAATTGTTGACTTGAATTTTGAAAGAGTTGGTGTTGCTATGTATATGTGTGTGTGTATATATGTATTTATAAACAAGTGTGTATGAGTGACAAGTGAACTGCATAGTCTTTCCCCTTCGCATGTGTATTCCACACATGGCTGGGTTAGTCACAGAACAATTTGCAATAAAACAAAACAAGTTCATTGTCAGCAAAAACAATAATTTTTACATAAATCTGGTGTTACGATGAATAAATAATTTTAAGAATTTTCAATTAGGCTAATTTAAGTAGCATCATAATTTGTATCTCAATTTGGACCAGGATAGAAATTACTGAAATTGTTTGGGATATTGTTTCTGCTTTTACATTTCAATTGAAAACATTGCTATTAATTTCGGCTACCTTAGAAAAATAGGTCTTTTTTTCTGCCATTGTTAGTGGTCTCTGCATCCTGCTGATACCTGTGTGATGCTGAGTTACTAACCCTTGGAATGATCCAGTTGAAAACGTGTCCCTTTTTCTTCCTCCAATCCAGTTTTGAAAGGTGTAATTTTCTGATGCATCCCTGCCTTTTAGGAGCCTAAAGGAAGAGGAGAAATAGGGAGAAATAAACTTGTTCCTGGGCTGTAGGGTCATGTTCCCATGGGAGAATTAGCCATTTTGGTTCTTTCCACTTTGTGAGGTGGTGTCTCCTTCATTTGTTGGCTTTCTAGAATGTCAAATTAGGTAAGTGGTTAATCTTTCTGTTGGTCCCGTCAGTATCAGTCATGCACTACATCATCTTCTGAGCTTTAGAAATGCACGTAGTCACTTCATCTTTCTTACCTTAGCCCACCCCCACCCCTAATCCCCACCTGTGGCAACACTTGTGCTGCTGTCTGTACAGAGCGGTTATCCGAATCTAGGCAAGTTGAGTGGCCCTTTCCTTGGTCTTTTATAACCGCATATGTTTGTGTTTCTCTACAGTATTGTGTGTGTGCATGTGTGTATAGGTCAATATGCACACATCTTTGATAAAACTAGCTGTTTGACTAGCAGGGTTGAAGTGGCTTTTAAATACTATGTGGGCATTATTAGACATCTTTTGTAAAAAAAAAAAATCCAAAACTTAACCATGCCACGCTTGATTAACTTATTTTGAGCATTAAATTTTTTCTATTAGACATGATCACAATTTTACATTACTGACTTAAGATTTGCTTATGTGTCTGAAAAATGTGGTTTCTTGATAGATTTTTTTTTCCTTTGAAACAAGTGAGTAGAATTGAATAAATATGTCCCAATTGTAAATTTATAAATGTGGCAAGAACATTTTTAAAACAATTTCAATTTTAAATACATAAAACTTTTAGGTTCTTCAGAACTTTCTAAAGCACATTTGAATTTATTTTAGTAAGAATTTAGTTTTTATCAGTACATGTTCAATTCTGGTTTTTTTAATTAAATACAAAGCTTAGGTTTCAGAAAGAGGGAGGGTAAATAGCTGGTGGTCCCAGAGTGTGCTGCTGTTTAACAAAGGGGGAAGTGTATATAAAGAGATATAAAAGTTATCATAAATTCCACGAACTTAAATCTGTGATTCATTGCCTTAAAACTTTCTCTCTTAGAATTTCCGTACCGCATGCCAAACAAGTAAAATGGCTTTTAAAAATGTATAGTAGACCAATGTCAGTTTGTATAAAAGTACCAAGTGAAAATATTTATTACATGCATTGGAAAAAATGTTTACCTATTGAATGTTACCTGTTTATGTAGAGCTCTTTAGATGTAATAAAAGAAAAGCCTTCAGTTACTTTGTCTTCTGTAAACTAGTAGTCCTGGGTACACAGGGGCAATCCCTACAGAAAAGTGCAAGACTTTGTGCTGTCAGAGCCTCTTTCATCCAGACTTCCAAGCTTGACAAGTAACTAATGCTTCTACTTTGACTGGTAATAAACAGCCATCAATTCCCGTATTGAAATAAGGCTAGTTCTGTAATGAACCACCGCCACTGTCTATTTGGTGGTTTTAAATCTGTCTAATATTTGCAGTTTGAGAGCTAAGAGGCCTTTTTTCTCTCTATTCTTTCTTGCAAACAGCCCCAGGTGCTAGGTAAACCAATTGGAATTTCAGGAATGAACCTGAAACCAGGACTGGAAGCTTAAAAGCCTCCTGGGATAGACCTCTTCCAGCCAACTAACACCCATTGTTACACAGTGCATCTGGAAGAGCCCAGGTTCTCTGCCCCAACACTGGCTCTGTTTTTGGCAAAAGTAAACTTGAGCTTATTGGGAAAATTAGAAAAAAAAAAAAAAGCTGGCTTAATGTCATACTAGAGCCAGTTGGATAAATATGTTAAAGACCTTTGAGGGAAAGCTTGACACTTCTTTGTCCTATATACCTTATCAGGTCTATTATTTGTTGACTCTTTGGTATTCCAGGTTGGCTGGGCAGGCCTGCTTTCCTGGTGTCCCTTCCCTGAATGACTAAAATACTGTTCTCCCTGGGAGGCCAAGGCCTAACTTGCCCCCTCAGGAGAAGGTAATGGCCATTCAGATGTGTTACCCTCCCTCAGGCCTCTTATTCCAGAATTCCAGTCCCCCCCCCCCAGCAGCCTAGTCGTTCTGCGTTTCTGTTTTAAGTCAGGGCCTCACTGTTGCCTAGGTGGGCTGGAACTCTGATCTAACTGCTTCAGCCTTCCAAATGCTAGTATTGGAATTGTGTACCACCATACCTAGCCTGTTTTTGCATCCTTGAAGGCCACAAAATCTTACCTACCCCACAAAACCTAATCTGCTCTACACTGTAGCCCCAGGCCCCAGCTGGTGATTAAAAGTGCTCATAGTGTACAGGGGGGGGGAGTTCCTACTCAATTCCATTGCAGTTCTATTGCTGGGGAGATGGGTGCCATAGGGCAAGTGGGATCCTCCTTTCTGTTTGGCCTGAAGCCACGTTGCATCAATGAGGTAGCTCATCGGAGACTGCCCCCTGCGGTTTTCCCAGTGCCTAACCCTTATAAAATGTGTGTTGTGTACCTCCTGAAAGATAACATCCCATTATTTGGCTTTCTGCCACGAGGGGACTATTAGACAAAGTTGCAGGCTGATGATACATAAAAGGATGAAAACCTTGGTACTTGGAGCTCTGACCCTGCAGGTGCTGTTCTGACACTCCCTCAGCCTATCAGCTAAGTTGATAGTAATAGTGGTTCATGATTTGATGAGCCTTGGGACACCTGAGTTCCAGCCTTGGCTGCTCGGAGGGATCCCTGAGGGACTGGTCCCCACCAGTGTTCTTGTATTCTGACCATGGCCGGAACCCTCTCTGTTAGTCTCAGGAAAGTGGCTCAAGGTCATGGCTGCTCTGGGCCCGTGAGCAGATCATCCTCATTCTTGGAGCCCCTCTGCTTGCCAACCGAGCCCAGGGCACTATTTAGAATTCTATGAGAAACATTTTCAGGGCTGATCCCTTAATGAAAGTGATTGGTCCCATCCTTGAGTACCCACTGTTCAGCTTATATTGTTTATTCTAGTATGTTTTAATGCTACTGTTTGTGAAAGAGTATCCTAAATTATGTAACTAGTGGAGATGGAAATAACAAACGTTTTTGTTTTGTTTTAGTCAACCGTGGGGATTTGACTCTGGGCCTGGGCGCTGTCCCTCAGCTCTTCAGCTCAAGGATAGCATTCTACCACTTGAGCCGCAGCGCCACTTTCAGTTTTCTGGTGGTTTATTGAAGAGTCTCATGGACACTGCCTGGGATGGCTTTGAACTGCAATCCTCAGATATCAGCCTCCTGAGTGGCTAGGATTACAGGCGTGAGCCACTGACGCATGGCTTAACAAACTTGTTTTGGTGCTGGTACTGGAATTTGAACTGAGGGCCTGCCCCATGCTATCACTTGGCATTTTTGCTAAAAGCTGGCACTCTACCTCTTGAGCCATACCATCCACTTCTGAAAATAAGAACTTGTAACTGGGCCTGTGGTGCTACAAGAAATGTAGTGTGTGGTTTTGCTCTTTTTAGTGGTCTTATCTTAGAAATGTAGCCAGGTGCTGGTGGCTCACACATGTTTCAGAGCCAGCTGAGGCAGGAAAGGCCTTAAGACTCTTACCTCCAATTAACCACCAGAAAACCAGAAGAGGTGCTGTGGCTCAAAAGTGGTAGAGTCCTAGCCTTGAGCAAAGAATTCGGGGACAGTGCCCAGGCCCTGAGACATGCCCTGCAACTGATCCCCCCCCAAAAAAAAAACAAAAGTGGACAGTGGTCTTAACACCCAAATGCAGAATGTGCTCTTTCTTCTAGCAGACTGCCCTTAGTAGGAGAAAACTACTATGGGTGACTGGTTCCTTCTATTTCCAGTTGTTGTTCCTCCCCACCCCCGACAAAATCTTTGTCTTCCCTCAGTGGAATGTATCAAGGGAGATGAGGAATCCAGCTGTCATGGGGGGTGGTGAGGCTTTGAGGTGAAGTGATCTTCCCATAACTGGGGGGTGGCAGAGCCAGGACTAGAATGCAAGCCTGACTCCTTGTTGCACAGGGCTAGATCAATGGCAGTTGCTAAAATCGACACAGACTTTATTGAAGACATGCTGGGCCCCTCTCCTGATGGAGAGCTGCTACGATGCTTCACTTTTGAATCTGTTCCTTATTCAAAAAACAAAAAGCTGCTAAAACCATGGCTAAGATCGTTTATTGCTACTAAGGTGATGCCATCTTTCTGCACCTCCCCAGAGTGAAAACACCTTCTTAAAATGAATCAGTCCTGGTTTTCGGGCCCCTGACGGAGGCTGTGGTGCTCTGCCCAGTCAGTAGTCTTGAACAGGAAGGGTGATCTTCTGGATAAATTCATCATACTTCACTTGGCCATCTGGTTCAATACCCGTTTCCTTAAAAAGGTCATCCACTACAATAAATCACATTCATTTGTCAGGTTAGATGTGTTGGTATAAGACACTGAGTTCTCTGGAAGTTGGGATCTCCAGGGGGAGTCTTCCCTGAGTGACATCATAGATGGGGGATTCAATCAGATGACAGAAGGACAGTCTTCCCCCCCCCCCATCCCCTACTTGAGCATCACTGGTTCAATGTTGAGGCTTTCTGGAGAGGATCTGGTAGGGGTAGGGAAGGGTCCAGGGAAGATTCAGTTACTGAATCGTTATTTTAAAAATACCTGTGCCTTGTACTGCATTCAGAGATTTGGCGTAGGTGGTTTACCACTTAACCACCCACCCTTCCAGCAACATGAATTTCCTCTGCAGTGTCACCACCAGCCTTGCCAGTCCAGGCTGTGACCTGCCTCTGTCCCCTGCCTTCTCCTCCTTGCTAACCCTGTGTTTACACCAAGAAGATTTTGACAACTATCTGTTACTAACCTACAAATGTGTGGGAGCTGGGGAGACAGCTCAGCAGGAAAGCACCAGCCTGGCTTGTGCCCTGGGTGTGATCTGCCATAGTAATAAGGGACTTTGTGTGTCCACACCCTGAAGACTGCCATTATTGTGCATTGATCTAATGAAATAACTAGCTTGTCCCTGGAATTTGCTGAAACATTGCAGCTTACCTTTTTCTACAGTGATCTCTCAGGATCAATCTACCTTTGGTGCTTTGGGCCCATTTTCACCCTCTTGCAAAACTGATCTTGATACCCTGCCTCCACTTCCCTGGCCCTAGATATACCCACATATCCTTGGACAGGGAGAAAACCTCCTTTGCTTCCCTCTTACCTGTCCGGAGGGGATCATTTCTGTGCTTAGACTGGAAGGTATTCTGAGTGTGTTTGAAGTGACCAACGACATCATTTGTCTTCATGGAGAAGTTCTACCCTGAACTGTAGCAGCCTGTAGGTGGCAGTCTTAGCTCCAGGATTAGCGCCAGGCAGGCATCGGCTCCCCATTGCCCACTGAGCCTTGGGGCACAGTGGCTGCTCACTGTCTCATTTGCGGTTCCCTAGCTGTTCCAAAGGATGGGTCTGAGCTTCCCTCTCCAGGAAAACGGCCTCCAACTTCTGATACCCTGTCTCTACGGCCAATGAGAGGGAATTGGGTCTCTACCAGCTCCCTGGAACTGTTCTTTGCTGTTTTCTGGCTCAACAAGTGAGATGTGTTGGGGACATGTTGGTTTGGACAGAGGTCACAAACCATAGGAATTAAGGCCCTGCTAGCTTGGCACTGATCTTGCAGCGATACACCTAAGGGCCACCAGTGTCCGTGGAGGCTGAAAGGCGAAGGTGATCTATTCATATAAACACAGACATGGTGTAAGATGAGACCACGTTAGTGGCCAGCCTGAGGGGAAAACAAATCTGCCTGCCCGAGTGCTATTTTTGAACCCTGGGCGCTGTGCCTTTGTGAGAGCAAATGAGACCTGAGCAGACTGGTTTACAGAATGGTGGGTCCCGGAGGTCCCTGGGATGTCTGTGAGGATGTCTTCATTTCCAGCGAGGAAACCTGAGGAATCATGGGAACTCCTCCGGGAGGGGTGCCAGGATGCCTACCTGACTCAAGCCACAACCTCAGAACCCGTGATCTGAGCAAAATGAGGGCTTTTCCCTATCTCCTCCCGAGGTAAGCTGGGAAGTCTGACTGAAAACCCCGACCTTGGTATCAGTGGACTTGGGGCAGGGCCTCAGCACAGGCTGGGGAGCAGCTGTACTGTCTCCAGGGACAGGAGCTTTCTGGGGGCATTGCAGGCACCCGGCAAGGTCCGGCATGTACTAAGTACCACCCCAGCAGGCTCATGCCCTCATCTTCCTCTGAGGCGAGAAGGTGTGTGGGCTGATGGGAGGTGCAAAGTGAGACTCCACGGGCCAGG